CAATCCCACTATTTGTTGATAAAAGAGTAGCCCAAGAGTTGGCGGTGAATGACTAGCTGCCTTCCTTCTAGTCTTACACTGCTAAATTAGGGACGGGTAGCGCAGACTAGCCCTCGTGTAGCTTGTAGCGAAATTACAAAACAAACAAACAAGGCACGCTCAATAAATAAGCTCAAAAAACATCACAAAACAAAGGAAACCTACTCACTTGCATTGTCCCCTACATAGAAAATATTAGCATACTTCTAACAGAAATTTGGAAAAGACCAGCACGTAAATATAACCTTAACAACTAGATTAACTTTCACCCCTGGAATGAAAATTAAATACACGTTAAGAAAGTTATATAATTATCCCACCACACCAGGAAACGTTTAAAAAATAATCTGTAACAATTGTTTAGCCTTTTACATAGGTGAAACAGGACGTAGCTTAAACACCAGGTTAAAAGAACACCAGAAAACCCCAAGTCCATGAACATATGAAGATAAACAACCTCAGGTTTTCTGAACATAATGTCACCATACTAAAAAATGAACCTGACATTAACAGAAGAAAAATCAGTTTGTTTGTTTTGTTTTGAATTTCGCGCAAAGCTACACGAGGGCTATCTGCGCTAGCCGTCCCTAATTTAGCAGTGTAAGACTAGAGGGAAGGCAGCTAGTCATCACCACCCACCGCCAACCTTTTTACCAACGAACAGTGGGATTGACCGTCACATTATAACGCCCCCACGACTGAAAGGGCGAGCATGTTTGGTGCGACGGGGATTCAAACCCGCGACCCTCAGATTACGAGTTGAGCGCCCTAACCACCTGGCCATGCCGGGCCAGAAAAATCAGAGAAGCTAACCCAATAAAATCAAATAATCCCACAAATAACAAATACCCAGGCACATCTCTATATGTCTTTGATCGAATGGTCGTTATTTCACCAGATATTTCCAATGTTATGCAAATATTTCACACAACGTTTCTATATTTTCATATTTATTAACTTTTTTTTGTCTTTTTCTGTTCAATCACAAATAGATGTCTGTCAATTCACGCCGATTAATATGTATATGCATAAGTAACCATTATCAGTTAAAAATTGTAAATACATAATACATTTTTAGCTTGTTCAATGTTGATTTAAATACTAAAACCTTCTTTACCGTTAAATCTTGTGTACTTAAAAATGATTGCACCAGTGACCAAAACATCGTATCTGTTTTCAAAATAAATCTTCCTTACTGTAAAAGCTGTAACTTTAATAATATTTCGTTGGTTTGTTGCGATGTGCATGCCCTTGTGGGGTACCCCAGAGCTCTGTCTTAGAACCTTTGCTCTTTTTGATTTACATCAATGATATAGATAAAGGAATGGTCAATAAATTACTTAAATTTCTTGATGATATTAAGATCTTGGGTGTTGCTAGCTGTGAAGAGGTTGCGGTTGCTTTATAAAAGGATTTAGGTTATTTAGTGAGGCTGAAATAACTACTGGTGACAACAGATGGCATATGGTTTTGTCATTACCACCAAATGATTAATTGTTTAGGAAAGAACTACATGATGATGCAGTTAAAATCAGGAGAGAGTCTAAATTATCTAATTTATTTAATCTGGTATTATGTTCTATGATTTTGCTAAACTGGTAACTGTATACTTAGGCTATTTGTGATTATGGTGTTATTAATAGATGGTTTTAAATTTTATGCATTTATGATCCACCTAATTACTTTGACTGTATAGTGTCTGGAGTTTAATTTGATTTTTACATTATGACTTTTCAGCTTGTACTTTCCTCTTCCAAAAGGAAAACAACTATTTGATTACATATAGAATCCATATGACCATCTACTTTTACTAGTATGATATGGAAAGCATATATATATATATATATATATATGAATTCATATCATTAACATCATCTTCTTCAGAGAGGAAAAATTCTGGGCACATGACCCATCTTATTATAATACGTCTATATTTATTTTTATGTTCCTGACAAGTTTTTAAACAATACTGTTTTTTCTTCAAGTAAAATTAAGTATGTTTAGTAAAATATCTTTGTGAGAACCAGTGTTAGAGCATTTAGAAAATCTTTTTAAAGAAACACATCTCTTTAAATGGATAAGTTTTAGCTTTCTTCTATTATCAACATTATTTTTTATTGTGCAAAATATGATGCTTAATCCATTTTTAAAGACAAGCACATTTTTCTTTCCAACAAATATAATATTTTAATTTTCTAACAAAAATCAAATTCAAGAATCTAAGATCAATTTTATTTTGAGTTGCAGGTATAGGCTCAAAACATGAGATAGAAATCTAATAAATATGCACCATCTAAATACACTACTTTCATATTTATCTCAACATTTCTGATAAGATTTCATACAATACTGTTTTTTTAAGTAAAAGCAAGTTCATTTAGTGACTATTAGTTGGTTAACTCTTTCTTAAAGTTTTGAAATACATCAATATGGTATTTTCAAAAAAACTATATCTCTATGCCAATGTCAAAAACTACAATATTCAACTATTAGTATTTCACAAACTAAAATCTGCTCCTTCAAATAAAACCCATCTGTAATTTCATAATCTTACATTTATGCATTTCTGTTTATAGTGATCAAATGTCATTTTATTGTAACATTATAATCAAACACCCCTTTTTATTTAGATCAATGAAATGTGATGTCTTTAACTTACATGTACAAATTTCTGTATTAGTCAAATGCCATTTCAATACATTATAAAAACACTTCTTATAATATCCAGCAATCATAACTACATGTTTTAAACGTAGTTAATTTCTTTAGCCATATCATTTAATTTCAGTTTTTACAATATATTATTTGTTAAATTTATATGCTATACTACAAGGTTTTCTAATTTGTTATATATTTCTTTTATCATTATCTTTACTAATCAGAATACTTTCATGAGCATTTCATGGTCCTTCTTTAGTTTGTGTTTTTTCTCTTGTTTATGTATATATATATACACAGAGGGTTTAGTATATTATCTTTCAACAATTTTGAATCTGCACATCAGAAAATCATGACAAATATGACCAATATAAAGTTGCACTGGAATGACACATATCAGAACTACATTTTAACATTAGGCGTTACATAGGAAGAGTGATGCTACCGAAAACTGATCACTTTTGGGAAGGGTATGTAGTAGCCCTTTCTGATAAGAAACTATTCATGCACAATCATAAAAATGTGTTCAGATCAGAAATTAAAATTTCAGAGACAGGGATACCCTGATATTGAAAAAAAAAAAGGAATAAGGATAAACTTGGAGCACCAGAACTATTCAGAAAGAGACCTGAAACAAGTCATATCCTAGCTATGTTAAGCAAAGTATATCTTTTAACAAGTGGGAATTTATTAACACAAAATTCAGCAACAAAAGCCATCCATGTGCCTCTGGCAACAGTATCCAACATAATCAAGAAGGATATCCATGTGGAAATGAAACCAAAAATTATGGGTTCATCAAGATAAGGCTTTCAATCATACCTCCCATTCAACTGTTGCATACTTCAAGCAGCTGGAGAAGGAAATGAGTATTCATGTTATTCCATATGAAGACATATTGGTCAAACTGCCAGATACAGTACTTATGGATTTTTGTGTGATTAATCTGTTAAAATGGGCAGTGAGAAACTGCTATTCTTGTACACTAGACGAATTATAGCAAAGAATTGGGGAAAATGGTGTATTTTAGATATGACAGACTTATGACAGTACCTTTTGCAAAGGAAACTACATATAATGTACCCAAAAATTGTGTGCACACAATATATATATATATAAACACACACACATGTTTGAAAAGAAAAAACACATCAGGTTATCCTTTAATGTCTTTAGACAATGCATTATTATTTTTTATAAACATATGAATGAACATCTTGTCTTGAACTTTTTAGTGCTACTTGTGATACGAGGTGGAACTCCTTATTTCAGACATAGATGGTTTTAAGGGAAGATCTAGTAAACAGCTCTCTTAAGTTACTATTTAATGTAATTACAAGAATGGTAAATCCTTCCTAGCTGAACAAAAAATACTGTCTGTCCTACACACAAAATACTGTCTCTTTCTCAAACTTTTGTGTAACTTTGGTTTCAAGAAACGTTTGTCAACTTTCTTTTCTTATCACATATAGAATCAGCACTGGCAGGCTTAGGAGAATTCTTTAGTGGAAGTCTACTTCTGACACACTCTATGGAGTGGCTCATGGGTCATCTCAGCCACCTTAACTTGCTTCTTGCGCACAAAGAGAATGACTAGGATACCTATGATCAAAACTGCCATTAAGGAGGCCACAGCAATTCCAATGATAGTGGAAACTGTCATTCCTGTTATGAAATAAAACATAAGGTTATGACAATAAACATAATAAACGTTTATGAGGTTAAAAGGTCCTTTTGTAAAATTATATACAAGCAATATTATACTAATATAGGACAGTCTCTTATCTTTCTTTAAAATTATAAAATAATTAGTTTTGGTATATGAATATACCACACATTTCAATCTTGTATTATTATTATTACAGTATTTATTCTGAATTTATCATTTATTCTGTGTATGTAGAAATTCCACATAACATGTTGTAAAGAAAGCAATTAATCTCATCTCTTTCTAGCTGCCTTTATTATTCTCTAGGAGATAATACTTGTTTTGCCTATGAGAGGTATTGCTATAAATACTGCATATTGTGTAAAGATGTTGACAGCAGTGTCCTTCAGTGGTGGTTCATGTGATATCTCAAGGTTATGGCCTCCCCTATATTTGAATAAGAATGACTAGTCATGTTGGTAGTGCTAGTCACTCTGGATAAATATAAAAATTTTGTAAAGCAAGAAACATTAGATTTAAAAAGCCTGGTACACAATCTTGAAGAATAAGCAGTATGAAGAATGAGCTAGCAAAAATGACAGTTTGTTATTCTGGAAAAGCAAGCACATATCATGTTTGTGTTAGGTGTGATTACAATAAAGATTGATCACTTCATATTTTACTTTATTTCCAGTCTCTATATTTAATCTATTCTCACAATTCAGTTATTCACAAATTTAGTATTATTCTATAATAAATATCCTGAGTGAAACTCCTGTCATTCTGCATACCTATCTCATTGCCCTAAAGTTTATTCAGTTTCACATGGCTGTACCACAGAGAATAAGTAAATCTTCATTGGTTAGAACCATCAAATAAAATCATTCTATTTAAGTACTAAAACGCTGTACCACAGAGAATAAGTAAATCTTCATTGGTTAGAACCATCAAATAAAATCATTCTATTTAAGTACTAAAACGCTGTACCACAGAGAATAAGTAAATCTTCATTGGTTAGAACCATCAAATAAAATCATTCTATTTAAGTACTAAAACGCTGTACCACAGAGAATAAGTAAATCTTCATTGGTTAGAACCATCAAATAAAATCATTCTATTTAAGTACTAAAACGCTGTACCACAGAGAATAAGTAAATCTTCATTGGTTAGAACCATCAAATAAAATCATTCTATTTAACTACTAAAACTTCATTTAAATATATATATACAAATAAATACACAAAAGGTTCAGTACATTATTCTTAAAATGACTGCTGGAGCTTCACCATGTCATCATATTCCACATTGTCATGTCCAGTCATGCTCTATTTGAAAACTGTGTGTCATGACAATAGCAGTGCAGCATAGTTTCTACCACAAAGGGTTCCATCGTAAGACTGTCATGTCCAAGGCATATTTTTCTACTCTGCTGATTTTCTATAATTCATATAGGGTACAAATGACTCTTTTAATAGTTTGTTTGCACTTTACCAGTATGTATTTGTGTGGAATATCATGAATACCTGTTCCATTCTTCAGTCTGAGATATGCAATTGATGAACAGGAGGTATGACTAGAAACTTTATCTTGGTGAATCATTACTCCATTGGCCTATTTTCAAGATGGAGATTCTTCATGAGTATTTTGCATACAAATGCTTGGGCATGTGGACAGCATTTGTCACTGACCTATGTGTTTGAACATTTTCACCTATTTTAAGACACCACACTTTGCTTATTGCAGCTGGAGTTTGACTTGTTGCATGTCTCTTTCTAGATGGATCCTCAAGTTGATCCATAATCCTTAGGTTTCCAATGTTACTAAGTATAAGTTATTCCCGTCTTGAAAATTCTAAGTCCTCACTCTGAACACATTTTAATGATATGAATATATGAATATTTTCTCACCTAAATGGGCTGTTACATACTCTTCCCAAAAGCAATGAATTTTTGATGGCATCACACTATCTGGGAAATGTCAAATTGTAGTTCTGATACATGTTGTTTTACCTTAAATATATATCACTTGTGGTTGTCATGTGGCTTGCTTATTTGTTTATTGAAATTATTATGTACTCAACTCTGTGTGTTAACAGTTTCCTAAACTGAAAATGTATTTCACAAAAAGCTTTCTTGACTTATACTGCCCTCATTGGTGCACTATCCTTGATACTTCCACTTATCTCTGCATACTAAGATGCAAATGATTATGCAGCAGCCCTCCACCAATAGGAGTGCGACACTATCCCTTCTGTAAGTAATCTTGCAGCTATTAACCACTTCGAGTTTGGTCAGATCATACCAAACCACAACAGAAGTGGGGAGGACAAGTGGGAAATGTGAGAGGACTTAAGTATCTACTGGAAATACATTTTCAGTTTAGGAAAATGTTAACTTTCAATACAATATCTTACCTCTTCTCACGAAAAGCAAGAATTCCACAATAAATTGGTGGAGGATGGTAAGAAGATTATCCCTCTTTAGGAAATGGCCAAAGGAAAACCATGGGGTGTGAGAAAGAATGAAAAACAACACAATTAGATCCGCCACCTCTGAGCCAGGTATACTCTTCGCTCTTTAGTAATGTGTTGCCAAAAAGGATGAAAACATGAAAGGGCCCCAAGAAAAAATTACAGGAATAATGGGGCCCACTGATGTAGAGTGGCTAGGGCATGACAAACTGTAAATGGGAGTTAGACCACAACCAACACCTGACAGCATCTGGAATTGTACATCAGGTCTGTGGAAGGAAGAGGGTCCTCTACCTTTCACCTCAAAAACGTGTACCAGCAGGGAGGAGGAGTTTCCATACCAAGAACCCACCTCTGCATGCATGCACCCACAACACAACTGATACCAGATCCACTTGAAACAGATGGATTTTCCTCTCCAGCCCAAAACCTGATGGCATTGGGACTTTTTCTTCCAGTCCCCAGTAGGAGGAGGGTACCCAGTCTTACACACGTGGGAATTTATTTGTCTCGTACAGCCAGAACCAACACCAGATCCACCGGGAACTGACATCCAGTGGAAATTAGGAAGAGGGACCATTATTTGTGGTTGCATCTCCAGTCCAAAACCTGGTGGTATTGAGAATTTATTGTCCAGTCTATGGTAGAAGGAGGGTACTATCTAAACACGTGTGAGGAATTATGTGGCTGGTCTGGCTCCAACCAACACCCAATCCAGGTAGGAAAGAGGGTGTCTCAGCTGGAGGGGAAAACTGCAATATATGATGGAGCACTACTTCCAACACCTGATGACATCTGGATTTATACATCAGATCTGTGGTAGGAAGGGCATCATGCCATCTACACCAGCAGAATGCCACTGCCCTACTCTCAACCGAGTGGTATTGTGTACACTCAGGAAGATAAGCCTCCATGGTCCACCACCCCCAGTGGCTAGGAACTGTTAAGTGCCAAGGACTACCATACTCCACTCGAGGAAGGAAGGAAAAATGTGATGGAGAGTTTGGAGGACTACAGCACTGGATACAGTGCAATGTCTGACCGTGATACCCTATTTTGAAAAGCAGAGCGATCACATCAATGAAGTCGATCAACCAACACCTGGCGGTATCTAGAATTGTACATCAGGGTCGTGGTAGGAAGAGCCCCAATGCCATAGACCATCAGTGATAAGCAGTAATCCCTGTCTGCTTTACTCATGTTAGTCTATGAGTGTTTGGTCTGGAATGAACATATTTATGAAGCAACAGACCGTGAAGGATACATATGATTGGTCTTGCGGAACCCCTTGTCTCAGCAGTGTGTGAAACATGATCTTGTGACAAGTTATGATATTGTATTTTGATGTACAAAGGACACACTGATGGAGCCGTTCAACCAGCATCTGGTGGCATAGGGAATTGCACATCAGGTTGGTGGAAGATTGCTGAATAATAATCTGCATGATAGTATGCAGAGATAAGTGGGAGTATCAATGCTAGTGGTGAGAGAAAATTTGCACCAATAAAAGGAAGTATAAGTTGAGAAAGGTTTTTGTGAGATGAGATAGGATATTGTATCGGAATTTATATTTCCTTTATGCTATCATTAGTATTCACATAGAGCATAAAAATATCTTGAAGTTCCTTAATGCAAGAAAATTTATTTACATTAATCTGCTTATTGTGTTTGTACAGTATGCTATGTGTTTTAGGTTAGATCCTCTGCTGGTTTCGTCTTTTTCAAAATGTTGTCCAAGTAATCATACATGGACTTACAATATACAAAACCATTTAATTACATATATAACATATATGGTTGTGACACACATTTATACCTTTTGGTATTAATATAACCACGTAACAACTGAAAACTTTAATATATCATATTTTTACATCTAAAATTTTTAATTTTTAATGAGGTAAGATTTCAAAAAATGTGCACATGTTCTGCAATTAGTTGGGAACAGAATGTAAGTAGTTGCAAACATGTATTCATCCTTGCTTTGTGCTAATATTACATACCATAGTGGCGCTTCTATATGGCTTACATACTCAGCTATATTTCTGTGTATATTTCCTCTTCCCTGGGTTGTGGACGTTACTCAAGAGGAATTATAGTACTAGTATAAAATGGGATTGATATTCCTTTGGAATATTGTCTGACTTAAAAATGTGATATAGACACAAGCTTTCAGTCTTTTATTCAGTGGAGACAATATTTTCTTTTTTGTCCCACCAGATATGCTATTTTTCTTCATATATTTCTATCAGTTAAAATCAGCTAATAGGCCATTATGCTAAGTTAGATAACATTTATTGTTAAATGTCCTAAGTATAGATTTTATTCTTATTTGTTCCCTTGTACTTGCATCTTTGCTGTCTATGTTAATTTTATTCTTTTACAAGTATGTCCTTTGATCCTCCTGTTATTGAGATACTCAATGTTTAACTGTTGGTTCAGTTTTACCTATGAATATCACAACCATATTCACTACTCTGTGTTTGAATATGCAAATGACAAATATTACTTTACTTTTTATCAAAGCAGTTTTACTGCACATTTCAATTGTATCATGCAATATCAGCATTGTTGCTTTGTGCAAGACATTTGTACTGGTTTGATATTTTTTAGTTTATTAATCCAAACTTTTGTATGTTCATAGAGAGAGAGAAGTATAATCTTTTGTTTTACTCCCATTGTGTCTAAAAAGCATCTGTTATTGCTATAAAACAAATATAAAAAATATAAAACTCAAATAAGTAATATTCAAAACTATCACAGTGTAATGCACTTTATGCTCAGAAAATTTAATGTCTGTATAAATCACTCAAACAACCTGTTTCTTCTTCTATCCTTCTTTTGTTCAATGACTATTTTGAAAAAGTTAGGAAAAAAATACAAGCAAAACAATGTAGAAGAGAAAACAGAATTCCACTTGTCCTAATGTTTTACCTACAAGAGTTATATAATTATCACAGTGTTGTATGCTTTCTTCTGATAATCTGTGTAGAACATATAAAAGTAGCCATGACTTAACTTAAAATATAAAGCCAATATTTAGCTGTTGAATGCTAAGATCATAATTTTATCTCTCTGCTCCAGATATTATAAAAACTATAGTGTAATATATTGTTGATGCTACTCTTTGTATGAGTGTGTGGCATATGAATAACTAGGTCATTCAAAAACATGATAAGCTAACCTATTAAGAAACTAATAAATATGAATAAAATAATAAAAAACACAAGGTGGCAGTACCGCTGATTTTTTTCAAATCCTCCAGGAAAAAAAGACCATATTACCTTGAACAGCTGGAACTAATGGTTACCCAGTACATAAATAACAGACATGTGGGTTAAGGTTGACACTCTACACATGTTATTGAGAAAAATCTGATGTATTCTTGAGAAAACTATCATGGTTTTATTAATTTGTTTCTGTTTTATTAAAGTTTGTTGATATTGAGAATATTATAATGTATGCATCTTGCATCATTTTTTATAAAGTTGTGTGAAAGATCAGATGTTATCCTTAGTTCCTAAGATTCGATGTTATCCTTAGTCCCTAAAATTAGATGTTATCTTTAGTTCCTCTCAGTTTGAACCAAGAAACAAGTTTTAATATTATTTTGTAACATCAAACTTACTACTAACATTTGAGCCAAATACTTACTGTTGGAAACTTCTAATATAGTAAATACTGACAACTTAGATGACCAGCAAGAGTAGAAACCTTCACTGTATCCAAGCGATATGACTCTTTCAGGTGTCCACTGTTCTTCTGAGTTATCCCACATCTGACACTCTACGGCTAATCTTCCTTCTGTTGACTCATTCTGAATTTTGGTCAGACTGATGAGGACAGTGTCGATTTGGTCGTAGCTGATAGGAACAACATTTCCTGTTAATGTACAAGAATCCAGTGTTAGATAATGTTTGTGCTGTAGTCTCCTTACTTTCCAGATGAAATTAATAACATTTAAAACATATTTACACTCAGAGTTTCTAAATGTTTATATAGTTTGTTGGATTATATGGATTAGTGATGACATAATAGAACAGATTTATTAAAAATTTAAACTGCCAGTAAAAAAACACAGTATTGTCTAAACTTGTCGTGTGTTAATCATGGAAAGCATAAATAACGAAAAGGGTAAAATCAAAATTTGTTTTAGCAAGTGTTGTGTTAGTTCATAGACTTACTTGCTACAGAATATCACATAATTCATTAATTGATAATGTATGAAATAAAAAAAATTCTTGAAGTAAATTACTTGAATTATAAAAATGTATATTTTTTGTATGGGTATAGTTGTTTTTTATGGTATTTGCTATCCTATTTCAGATATAAATTGTGAAAAGGTTAATTTATGAACAACAGTAGTGTAAACCAGTACTGATATAAATATACATGTGTACCTGTTCCTGGTGTCCTCATCTCAACAGTTACCACTGGAGCAAGTCTGGTGGCATGGTTATCTTGAAGATAAGGACTGTATGTTATATACAATGTCATGGTGACAACCACTCCATCACAGGTCCACTGACCACATGACCAGTGTCTGAACCTGTCAGAAAATATGTAACTTGCATGTTAAGATTTTGTTTACTAAGTTAATTTATACTGAAAACTAATATTTATCATTGCACCAATACTCTGGATAGAGAAAACTTAATAAAAATATTTCACTTCATTAAACCAGCTTATTCAGGATTGGTCTAAAACATACACAGTTTTAAAGTGAACATTAAACCTTCACTAATTACATTGTAATTAGGTTAGTGTTTACAGCAAGAAAAACACAAATGAAGTATAGGGATGTACTATACATTTTCCACTCCTTTAGTTAATAAAATTGAAAATTTTTAAATTATGTGGCTTTTCACAATTCTCCAGTTGGATACAGAGAGGTACTCACATAAATTAATAACTATCACTTTCCTTAAGAAGTGAACTAGGTTAAGTGATTTTCTTGATCATTACTGCCCATTGGCTTGCTGATCTAACAAGAACCAATCACTATTTTTTTATGTCAGGAACTTGAGTGTTTATTAACATATTTATGGTAGTGTTGGGACTTAGCAGAACAGAATAACACAGATATTTGTCAAATCTTAAATAGTTATTACGTAGTTTTAAGTTTCCATTAGTTTTAATTTATTTTTACAGTTGTGTTTCAGTAAGTACCCGGCAGAAACAGAAGGTTTTTGTCATACTTTCTTTGTAATTTTACTTTTATGTCAAGTTAAGAATCAGAGCAATTCATAAGCATACCTATCACTTAAGGTATTATTCTTACCCTTACCTTAAGTGAGCAGCATTTAAAGTCTTGTAGCATTTGTTGATGTTTCTTTCTTTTTAAGCTTTGTAATGAAATTCTATTAAGATCTTGGATTCCACAAGGAGTATTTACATAGAGTAAAGTAACATGATATTTGACTGAATTCAGGGTAAATTTTGATTTGATATTTTCTTTCCTTTTATCTTACTTAGCTGAACTTACAAATGGGACCTACACACACACAAGCAAGAGCTCCTATTTTCTATTACAGTTTTTTCAGCTTTTCTCAGTTGCACACATACACATGATCATTTGTGCTACTGTTTATTGTGTCACTGTGTATTGTTAGTTGTGAAAATGACATTAATTGTTTGTTCTTTGTATAAATCTGTTTCTTGTCTCTTTCTTTTTGTAACTTAGCAGTTACAATTCATTGGGAAATATACACCCAATCCCAAAAAAATAAAAATGTATGTTTTTCAGAAAAACATATGAAATCAGACACTCCTTAAATAATGATATATCAAAGTAATAATCTGTCAAATTGGTAAATAAATTATTATAATTGCTACTAAAATATCTTAGTCAACAATGAGAAGGATTAAGTATTTAATAAGTTCTATTACTTGATAATATCATAGTTTTATGGTTCAATCTATTTCTTAAATAATTTTGCTATTTTCATGTGAAGCTCTATACCTTCCCCTCTAGCCACTTCTCAGGGATTAATGTTCTTTTCTATAAAAGCATTTTTTTTTTTTACTTAAAAGTCAAATAAATTTTTAAATTGGTTATAAGTATGCCTCACTCAATCAAAATTTTTTTATTTGTTTGGGATGTTTATGTAACAATAAACAAGTACATGATATGTGCACTACCTATCATTAGTTTTGAACTTATAAACTAGAGGAAAGGCAGATCGTCAACAGTACTTACGCTACACTTATCAACTAGTGCCCCCCAGTGACACAGCGATATATCTGCAGACTTACAATGCTAAGATCCGGGTTTCGATACCCATGGTGGGCAGAGCACAGATAGCCTATTGTGTAGCTTTGTGCTTAGTTACAAACAATCAAATAGTGGGATTAGATTGTCACTTTTATAATAAACCCATGATTCTAAAGTGCAGAGTATGATCTTGTGGCTATAGAGTGTGAACCACAGACCTTTGGATTTACAGTCTGGAATGATAACCACTATGCCACATCCAGCAACCAACAAATGAAATAACATCAGAAGATGATGTTCTTTTTTTTTGTACATAGGTATAGAAATGACATAATTTCAGTTTCTATGTCATCAATGTAAACAACAGTTTAATAAAATGGATGTTTTATTTTGTGTAACAGTATGTATTTTTTAATTAAAAATCTTCTTAACCCTCTTGCCATAGGCATCCTTTACTGTGTATGTCACGAGGTTTTTCCAATGAGTTACTTTCAAAGTTTAATTAAACTACTTTTTGTTTGTTATACCAATTAGTATAGCATAAAATCATAGCTAACAATCCATATTTTAATATTATATAAGTTCTAAGTTCTTAATTTTATAATACAATATTAAAAAAACCTTGAATTTCCCCTTATTGTGAGAAATGTGATATTTTTTTCTCTAGGCATCCTCTCTTCTCTCATTTATTCACTACCCCTATAATAAGTTCGAAATTTAACGTAAATTACTAAATATAATATTTTTATTGCTCAGGCAAAGCATGATTTCCATAGCCTTCAATCTTGTTTGGTTACAGAGTCATCAAATAGAAAAATAGATCCCACTTGCCACACCACCTATCAGATCTTCTCTTTCAAGATTTGTTAACAGTTCTCTCTTAGGTTTAATATTATATTATTTATAATCAATAGAAAGCCAAGGTTTTCATCTATCAAATGAAGTATTATATTATGTTGTTTTCTTAACAGAGAATTGTCAATTTCTCTTTTAGTACAAGCTTCATTCCCATGGGAAAAATATCGACTAACTTGGATAAATTTGTAATGACTCTTGTTGCATAGTTAGAAAGCCAGAAAATTGTGATAGTTATGGGGCATTGTCTGCTTTTTGAATGTTATTATTCTATGTTCTTTGGTGCATTATTTAATGCACTACTACCATCTGTATAAGAAAAAATAGGGTTAAGTGTCATCAACAGCGAAAAAAAAAGAAGGTCCAGGTAAGTACTTTATTTCTTGTTTTTCACATGTATGTTTTATTTATTATTATAAAAGTAATTAACATATAAAACTAAGAATCTCTTTAGGTTAGTTAAAGTTAGAGTAGGTAAAATAAATAATAATAACAATTTTATAAAAAGTTTTCACAAGGCATGCATGCGAGCAGCTCAGATTAGCTAATGGGTAATGTAATTCAATAGCGTAACGTGAGCTCCATGCTCCCCAAATGATTTACAACTTACAATAGCATGAACAGTACTTAGAACATGGTCCAAAGGGCAATAAAACAATAAAATTTTAGTATAAATAGATGTATAACTATTATGAGTTTAAAGCTACTTAAGATAAACAAATTTAGTTTCATGTTAAAATTTGAAGTCATTCTAGAATGACAAAAGATTTCTTTAGGTTTTTTATATTTTATCCATTATTTTCTCTACCCTACCTCTATACAAGGTTGTGTTAAGACAGCGGAAGGCACGTGACACTGGGAACATGCGCGCTGGAGTTTCTAGAAGGATCATGAATTATCGAGGAACTCCGCGAATGTCCTTGTGTTTGCCAGGCACCCTCTTTTTTAGTATATAAGCCTGGCAAGAAAAATCAGCACAAGGTCAGAGATAGATAGATCAAAGATATAGATAATTGAGTTAAGCAAACAGTAGGCACTGTAAATAAAGTGTGTGTGAATCGCTGTGAATTATAGCATGTGTTTATAAAAGTAGTTAAGTTTAAAGTGACTGTGGAAATTCTGTGTATTACAAAGTTGTATCAAGAAAGAATAAACTAGTTTCAATCAAGACAGGACTTGTATCACTGAAGTTCTTCAGAAAGAATTTCTACTGAAAATTAACAAACAAGCAGATACATAACAGTTGGTCACTTTGGCTGGCCTTGTAAACAACAAGGACAGCCAAAGTGACCAACCTTGTATAGGGGTAGGGTAGAGAAAATAATGGATAAAATATAAAATTTTACTGAAAAAAAAAAGGTTTGATATGTATTTAGGATGTTTTAGAGATTATGCAAATGAAATTTAAAATTTATGAGATGAAGAAATGTATTTTTAGTTCTAACATGAAAATCATTTTGCACTTGAACTACTGAAAAAGTAGACTCGATATATTCAAGGACAACTCTGTTTTTTTTAGTTTATTAAAAATACTTCACTAAAAAATCTAATTTTTTGTATGTAAAAGACTTGTAATGTTTACTGAAAGTCTGCCAAATTTTGTGAAGATACACATACCACATTAAAAGTTAGTAATATCAAACTATAACAACTTTAAAGGAGTACAAAGTGGTCACGTGGTTGGTCAATGTGACTGAGTTAAATTCTTAGAAGTTTAAAAAAAATCAATACCTGTTTCTAACATGTTTGTAAAACTTCACCATAACTTTCACTGGTTCACCATTGGGCAGTTGTCCTCTGATAGCAAGAGGAACTGAATTTAGTACTTTATATTGTAAAACACTTCTCGGACAATCCCCACACTCACTTCTTAGTTCCAGTATCTGATCTCTAGTCAGTGTGGCTGCTGCCACCTTCAACAAAGCACTCAAAGACTTTGTAAACTGCTGCAACAGTTGTATGTGACCTGGGAAATCTTGAAAGACATCAGTCATCCTGGCAAACATGAATTTTATTGTGGGGATAAGGTGGGTTGTCTGGAAAAACAATGAATACACCAACACCAATAAAACCATGTCTAGTTACTATAACAGAACTTAATTAATGACTATGATTTTACTTGAGAAATAGACATTAGTTCTAAGAATAAAACATAATTTAATGTTCCTGTTTTTCATTTCTATAGATTCTTACCTTTTTCACCATCATCTTTTTGGTGATGTGTTCAATAACCATCAGAGCATCTAATCTCATAGCAGTGTTGTTAGTTGATAATAAAGGAAGAATATTGTTGTACACAATAAGTACACTTCCAGTGGACAAAGTGTCAGAAAGAGATGAGAATGAATAATTCACGAGAGTTTTAGCTTGTTCAGATGTGATATTTTCTTCTGTTGCAAATGTGGCAAGTGAGAATTCATATAAAGCCTCTAAGGGATTCCCTACAATAATAAAACTTTTTAATATTTTATTTCAATCTGAAATTACTATGTTCTAACTTCTAGGGCATAAAAATATTAATGTAAAATTTTACTCAGTTTAAATCACTTAATATATAGTCTTCAATATTATAATCTTCGAGTTACTCATTAACAAAATAAAATAATTAATCACTTTATTTAAAATTTATGAATATTTCTTATCAGTGTTTTATTTAATAACAGAAGGTATGATAAGAATACAGTTCACAATACTCATGGATATTCCATAAACCCAATTAAATACAAGGTTTTAAAGGTGGATGTTTTTTGTGATTTTATGTGTATTCATATATAAAAAACATTTCCTTTCCAAATATTTGGTCCACAAAAACCTTAGACCTTTTCTGTACTGCTTTTTATTACAACATATTTTTCAAGTGCTAAAATGAGTGTGGGTGACAACATAATTTCAATATGAACTTGAACTTCCTTAGTATCAAAAAAGTTGTTAACTGAAGGTCATTCACCCAGCTTCTCTGCTACAGAAGCACTTACAATGAATAGCATCCAAACTTATTCCAGTAAGCACCATATCATTTTATAAGCCATATTCCAGATACTATTCCAATATCAATTTTCAACACGCACACACTTGTAAATGCTGAATGCTGGATTTTTCACCTTTCAATAAGCATACCTGGTCCTACCAGAAATATATAAATTAAAGTCGTTCCTTCTTTTTCTGCATTTACAGCTATAGGTTCCATTACAGATGAAAACTAAAAAAAGTAGCTTTTCTTAAACATGTTCATATATATGTATATATATATACAATCTAAAGTAAACTATGCGATAACTTTTAATATGCTCAACATAAATATAATTCAACAACATTAGTTAGTAAGTTCAATAGGCTTTCTAATGATAAATAGTACATAAGCTATTTTGGTTTTATAACAACATCTTTATTAAAATTTGTTATAATAAGTTACTAAATTTCAAGGAAAATACAAAATTCATTACCAGAATATTGAGAAGAATAACAAAATATTATCCATTTAATACTAGTATACTTTAAAAAGTTAGCTTTACATCTGTGTTACAATGATAGTTGTGCTTTGTTTGATAAAGAAAAAGAGGTTGACAGAAGGATCAAAGAGTATGGAGATGGACAACAATAAAAAATTAACACACATTTTTCTTTAACAAAATACAGGATGCTAAATAAATTTTAAAAATCTTGATGTATTATCATCAATAATATTTGCTATGAGTTTTTTTATACTAGTAGTATAATAGGTTCTATTATACAATGAAGGGATAAAAAATACAATATCTGTACAATACAATTTTTTAAAATAAAACCACACACACACACACACACACATTTGTGCATATTTCTTTTCTTTAATCAAACTTACCATAATGTTTTGCAAAAATATGTTATGACACATGTATCACCAATCAGGCCTGCCGACAAGGGGGTGCAGCAAATGGAGCAACTGCTCAGAAGCCTGGGTGAATGAAACCTAGTTATGCCGTAATGCCCACAAAGCACTTTTAGGCTATATCTTCATTTAATGATAAAAAACCATAGTTTTTTACTTTTCTTTGCATATAGACACTTGTATACATTAAG